CTTCTATTTCTCTACATTGAGGCCCGATGCGCTACCTTTTGAAGTCTTTCAGCCTACTTTATCCTGACACACCAAACTATGTATATATATCTTGTTAGATGATTTAACAAGGTGTTTTGCAATTTCAGAAATTTGTGTCTCTGACACCATGTCCTCTCTGTTTCTGTCCTCTTTTCTCTCTGTTATGTCCTCTCTTCATCTTTAAATTAACCTCCAAATGGACCTCATCTGTCCTGAGAGAGCCTATTATCTAGTCCCCGTACTCTCATCCAGAGTCCCTGCCAGAGAGGGTTGCAAACCTGTCCCTCTTTACCCATAAACTCATCCTTACACATCGGAGGACTAAAAAAAAAAAATCCCAACCAGTTGAAAAAAATGCAAAAGTAACAAAGGAATTGCATTATATATAGTTAATTACCTACTGCCCTTATATGGGGTGCAGAATTAGATGTTTTTAATTGCTTTATCACCTGGGCTTGTGAGGGCAGCAACTCAGCAATCAGCCTGATTCGTTTTAAATGAGCTGCCATGAGGATGTGGTGGAAGCTTGATGGTGTCTCTCTGCCCTCCGGCTCCTGGACCACAGAGAGGCCGAAAGGGTCCTGAATCGTAAATTGAATGTCTGTAAATGAATGGAAATCAACAGTGGCAGTCCCTGAAGCTCTCTAACATTTTCCTGTGACAAAGACAGAAGAAAAACGAAAAAGAGGTTGGCCATAATGAAATACTGTGTTCAAAGGGCTCTTTTTATTAAACAGAAAAGCCTAATGCTTTAACTCCCTGAGGATGCTACAGAGGTGGCCTTGGGATTTGAACACCAGTGTTACTCAGACAATTAGCATATTCCTGTATTAAAGGAGGGAAGCGTGACAGTGTTTTCCAGGATGTCAGTATGTATCATTAAAAGGCATATTTTAATTAGGGATGTGTTAGTTCGTTACACTAAATGGATTAACATTGCTTGTCAAGGCTGGAGATGTGTTTTACATTCAGGTCCACTGGGGAACAAGGTCTCAGTTTAACAAGACATCTTAAGTTGAGATGGCTCTTGTTAGTGGAGACTCAGATTTGGCAGACAGTCTAATATTTGGAAAATGTGGAGGCTGATGTTTTGCATGAAATCAATTATTGAATTGTGGAAATCTACATCGTGAGTCGCTATTATTTGCAACACCACTGTATTAACAATGGAAAGTGTTTAATTTTACTGTGCCTTGCAAACATAAGCATACACCCTAAAAGTGTTTAAGTATGGCAGATTACAACAAAAAGCTTCAATGCATTTCAATATGATTTCACTGATATTCAAAAGAACTATGATAGTCATTTGTAGAATTATACATTTGATGTTGAAGGAATATGATTCACAATTTTCTACTTTTAAACAAATGTAAATCTTAAAATGTGGTTTTAATGTATTTGGTCACCCTGCACCATCTTTTGGAATATCTCTTCCAGATTTTTACATCTTGACTGAACTTTTTTTTGCCCAATCTCCTTAGTAGAAATAGCTCAATCAAAAATGAATTAAAAGCATCAGTTAACATACATTTTTTTTTAAAGTCTTGCATTAAACATTACCAGTAAGGACTATGACTGGGCCATTCTAACTCTGGACTTCCGCAGCTTCTATATCCAGGGTTGATGAACCAGTCACAAGTCTTTATGCACGCTAAAGACAGTTTCTTGTCTAAGATAACTTTGCATCTAGTTTCATTCATCCTCCAGCCATTTATGACCATGTTCCTACCCAAGTTCAAGATAAGCATCCCCACAGCATGCTCCCGTCACCACCATGCTTCACAGTGGGGACAGGTGTAGCCGACATGATGTGCAGTTTGTTTTTCCCCCATACAGCATCTTGCATGTAGACCAAAAAAGTTAGAGCTTGATTTATGTGACTCGCAGTGTCCTCTATGCTGCGTGTGGCAAACTGCATTATTTCTTCCTTTTTGCCACTCTTTCATTAAGTAGTGTTAGGTAACACACTAATTTCAATATATATATATATATATATATATATATATATATATGGTTGAAATTGATATATTGCCCTATAAATACTCCATCACCTGTTATCCCAACAAACAAATAAAGATTGTGGTTACAGCATGTTGGAGTGTGAGAAAGTCCTAGGAGCACGAATACTTTAAGACGCCATGTAACACCAGTGAGAATGCACATTACGTCATGATGCTCCGGTCGTTTAAAGTTTTTGAGAAGAGACTTAAAAGCAAGAAGCTCAACTGTGCACTTTCTGATGATGCAGCGAGTACAGGTTCTGCATGACCCTTTGGATCAAAGAGTGGTTATCTCCCGTATTGAGCTGTTCTCACCTCTGTCTTCTCTCATTATGGTTTGGACAACAAGAATTTCCCTCCCATTAATCAGAACCTGATCCCCAGGTCAGCCATCACAGATCTCCTAACAAGCCAAAATGCAAAAAGAAGCATGAAAACAAAGAAGGAAAAAAAAAACAAAGAATAAAAAACAAGACAAGCATCTCTTGAATGTCATAGATGCCAGAGAATTGATTTCTTCCCTGTTAGTGGGGAAAATGGGTGAGGAACTACTGCTTAGCCAGAGGTTCTACTAAATTAGATTCACTTTGTGTGTTCAGTCAGCAGTCAGTCAGCAAAGTCAACTTGAACTGGGGGTGAAGTAAGCACACATTCATATTAATTGGCTTTTTTTTTTTTTCCTGCTGTGAATGAAATAATCCTCCAACCTCACTGTCCCGGACACAGCTCTGCATACATTCAGACAAGTTGTTTTAATCCATGTATGAGTAACACCTCGTGTTGGAGAGCGTGCTCACCGAGAGCCCTATAAAAGCACGCCGGAGGAATTTGTGCCCTTTAGGACGGTTGTTGGGAGGTGAACCCTGCAGCTGTGTTTTCGCACACACCTGCAGGGATTACGGCCAAGAGGATTTGTGGAGGGGAAAAAAAAAAAAAAAAAAGGGTTTTTTGAATTCCTGACAAGCACTGTGAAGTTTTAAATAAAAGATTAAATTAAGTCTGACACGTTCAAATGTAAACACGATGACATTATGCCAAACCGAAACGGTTTTAAATCCTGTTGAAACAGAAAACGTCTGCAAGCAGAACTTTAAAACGGCTTTCTGCGCTTTGCCACATTCCAGTTTAGGCGTAATGTCCTGCCCTACTTTGCCAGTTCTTGATTAAAATGTTGACTTTTTGCAGGGTAATAACGTGATTAATGTAATTGAATGTAAAAGGGCGTAGCTCAGCAGCACTGCTGATCACTGGAGATGGATTAGGAGAGAAGGCTTTCAAATTGAATACAGTTCTCCCTCCTCAGCTTGTTAATTGTGCCGTTTACCTCTACCTGAGTCAGTGACCACTGCTATTTAGTCTCTCTAATGATGATGCACAGTCGGACCCAACCACAGATAATTAAAAAAGCCTTCCCTGCACCCAACCTCCCCTACTCCCCATCCTCTCCCTGTCTAGAGTTTGGTGTTGCATTGACAAGCTGCACTAAGGCCAGATATTGAGCTGTCTGCTCTACAGAGCCTTAGCTGCAGGATCATGTAGCCCCTCTTACTGCTGTTATGTTGTGTGCTTTCAAGAAAGAAACCACCACACAGATTCTATTTGGAAACTCAAAATGTTCACTCACTTTTATTTGAACAAGTGTTGCTCTTTTTCCTTGAGCAGCAATAAAACTTTCAGTGGGAGTGATACCTTTTGAAAAATGTAATTCATAGTTATAAATATTTTAGCTGTGAGTGGAATGATTTTAGACAGAGCTGATGAAAGAAATGTCAAGCACCGCTGTGCAACATAACACACACAAGCACAATCTGCTCCTTCAAACATGAAGTCCACGAAAGACACGACATGCCGGCCCGCACCCACAAGAAACTAACACCGGCGTCGTGTGAAGTGCGACGCTACAGAAGCAGGTGAAGACCAGGAGAAGCCATGATGTAAAAGCTAAGAGGAAGAGAGAGCTTTTAGTGTTGCTGCTGCCAAATTATGGAACGATTTTCTACTACAAGGATAAAAGAAAAGCTGGTTGCTGCTGATTCAGAGGTGCTTTACTGCATTCATGATTGTCCTAAATGTCCCTTACTTTAAGCATTCTCTACAGATTTGCATTGAAATTTAGCTAATTTGGGCATAACTATCTTATTGAAGTGATGGTTTAAAAGGCTGTGTTTTTTTCTAGCAATAATTCAAAAGTAACATATTGGGTTTTTGGAGGGGATTAGAGCAAGCTTTAAAGATGACTTGATTTCAGTATATTTATACATTTATTTAGTTGCCAGTGATGTTTTTGTCTAGCTCAACGTGGTTCAATAAATTAAGGGTGAGAAACAAAACTAGTTTGGACAATAACCATTTTTTTTCACCTTCTTTCTTATATTTTCTTTGCAAAAGAGAAAGTTGCTCATATTAATGCAAATAATTGAGATTTTATTTTTAAGTTAGAATTTTGCTTATTTATATGACACAAAATGTCTTTTACATGACTTAAACACCATTGCGTCCTTATGCATCTTTTCGTCTTCTACATCAGGGAGAGCATTCATTTCTTCAAATTTCCGTCTCTTTCAGGTTTATTACATTTTTATTCTTCATTCCAAATCGACCCTTCTGAAACAGCCTCAGCCTGAGGAGCATTTTAACAGGCTTGAGAGGAGGAAAACCTGTGAATTACACAGCTTGCCGTCTCGAGTAAGCTGAAATAATTAGGGAAGAGAAATCTTTGGCTTGTGCAAACTTCCTTCCACCGCTGCAGAACAAAATAATAAAGAGAATGTGTGTGAGACAAAGGAACAGGAGACCCCCGTGGAGCCTGGGTCTCTGCTTCCTGTCATGAGTATTCCTGCGGGGTTTCACATGACAAAACGCAGAAAGTTGTTTTGTCCCCATGCCTGTCACCATCCACCCTCATAACCGCAGCTGTGTATATATGTGCACATATGTGTGAGTGTGTGTGTGTTTGTGACTGTGCTTTTTTTTTTCTTTTAGTTTTTTTTTTTTTCTTTTTAGTGCAGGCATGTTGTCTTGCTGTCTTCCCTGTCAGTGTATAGCCTGGCACCTGCTCTCATGTTCCTAATTAGTCTCATTTATTTAATTATATTCTACTGCACATATCTTCTCTTTTTTAAAGACATTTTCTTCACATACGTTTCTCCCCAAAATAGCTTTAAAGGAGGAGACTGAGCTGCAGAACAGAGAGGCTTTAGGCAGCTTGGTTGTCATCCTCTCAGAACATACGCGTTGTAACTTTTTCTCCTGCAAAATTAGACACCAAACTGGAGGTTTTTTTTTATTTATTTTTTTTCCCCCCCTCCTAAGATAACCTGACAACCAGCTGACTCACAGGCAGAATCTCGCCAGCAAAGCTGCAGGAAAACAAGTCAGGTTTCAAGGCTGGTGAGTAAACAGAAATCAGAAAAGCACTTTACCTGTGACAGTTGGCCTAAGCACCTCTTTCTTCTCTGTTAGCTCTTCCGTTCCATTTGTCAGGTTCACTTGGCCTGTACGCCACTGTTATCTATTAGGTGTGTTTTCACTGCGCTTAACACTACAGTAAAGCACCAGGTGGAGGCAAAGCAAGGCTGAAGGAGAAAGGAATTGAGCTGAAGTGTTATGGGAGTCAGCTGAAGCATTGAGCAAAAGTCTCGAGTCATTTTTTTGTTACTTAATAAATAGCTGAGTTTTTGTTGTTGTTGAAGTACTAAAAAAAATTCACAGATTTTTGCCTATATTTTGTCTTCTTTTAATCTGTTCCTGGACAATTTTCAAAGAAATAATAGTTACAAAGGAAGTCTAAAGTGAAATATTGAGTTGAAATAATGTGTTTATTTTATGCTATGTTTATTTTTTATTTCTTTTCAGAAATAATTGCTGTTTTTTAGTTGCTGGTGTTCACTCTGTTGTCTTGATTTTTCCTGCTACATCTGTTCCTGAGTTGCTTTGCATCTTTTGGCCATGTCATTCTGTTTAGCTAAAGTTTATCTGATCCTTCCTGCATTTTGGGATTTTCCACTCAGCTCATGAGTCTCACAGCTGTTCCACATTCAATCAGTCTCACCTGTTCCCACTGCAATAATCATCTTCCCAGCATTTAAGTTTACAACAACCTGCTGTGTACTTTCATATCCAATGTTTTTTGTTCCTTAATTTCTCCTGTTTTTTTTTTTTGTAATTTATATTTGCTTCTCATTAAATTATTCATCCATATTCCCTTTTTTGCCCTTTGTCAAGAACACAACATCTGACATACTGAGGCACTTTACATCTGGCATCTTGCCACAAAGACACAAAAGCTGTTCCAAAACATTGAGCTGAATGAAAAACCTCAAACACGGCACAGTTCCACTTGTTAGACACAAGGCCGTCTTTTTGCACCGACAAGGCCATTTTACTTAAATAGTTGCTGTACAGTAGATAATTTTTATCCACTGAACAGGGAGACAAATGAAATTCAGCGAGGCTTTGTCACCGAGCCATCTGACCACCACCAGCAGACATGGATGGTTGTTAGACCTAAAATGAAATGTTCTGAGTTGTTTTGATTCCCCCTCCCCCTTTTTGTTGAAAAAAAAAAAAGTACTTCAAAAGTGCCTTCATCACTGTGAATAGTTTTCTTAGGCAATAAATGTTTTTGTTTCACTTGTGCAAATTTGGAGCTTTTAATCACTGTACAATGCTCTTCGCCCTAGGTGGACTAGGTAATAAAGATCAGTAAAAAAGCTTCAAAAGCACCACAACAAACTTTGTAAAGGCCTTCAGAGATCGTAGCAAACTATTGGTCAACTATTCTTTCAAAGATCACAACCATGTGAACAAAATCAATAAAGAAAATGTTGTTTTAAACATTTTCCAGTGTTTTACACTCCTTACAAATACACATTTTGATCTTGTGTAGCAAGAAACTTCCTTCTGTAATTGCTAGGATGCAATACCTTGGAAAAGTCTTCCTGCCTCTTGAACTTTTCACTTTATTGTGTTAAAATCTCAACTTTGATGGGTTTTATTGAAATGTCGGTAGATTGGTCAACATTTTGTAGCACCACCACATCTTACCAACTCCCAAAGACTCGCATGTCTGCACATCTAAAAACTTCTTTTCAAACTACCTTTATATTGAGAGCATCTGTAAACTGACTTTTAGGTCTCACAGATTGTTGTATGAATATAGCATTTAACACCAACTGTCCTAAACCCAATGTTAAGTAACATGGAGGTGTGATAATCCCCCAAACCTATGGGGTGAAACTAAAATGGAGGCTTACAAGGTACATAAGCCCATAAAGAGCAACAGTGGAAACAGTGTTGGATTTCACTTCCTAACGTCAAAGAAGAGTAACAATCCATCGCAGGCAGCCTCCCAGCTGACCCTCGTCCCATGTTTTCCACTGGAGGATCCCAAGCTTAAAGAAAAGACGCGGTAAATAATTCAGGGTTGTGACGAACACCACGCAGCTCGGCCACAAAAGATTCTGTCAAACTTTTGGCAGCGGCAGTGCTGCGGCGGCCCGATAGTATTTCTGAATGTAGCTCGCTGTACATCGACCATATGGACCCGATAATCACCAGTGGGATGAATCAGCACATTTTTGATCTGGAGCCCAAAATCGCACGACACCTTAATTAGTTGGTGCCGACATCGCCCTTCAGAGGACTAATTTGTCACCGCCGATAAAACAAATGCTGGCAAGCGTCTTCTTTTGAGGAAACAAAGGTTTCACTCAGAATCTTGCCACATTTCAGCCATCAGTTATGGCGAAGTAAATACGAGTTTGTCTTGACTAATGTATTCTGCCCATCATGAAATTATTTGGAGCCGTTGTTGATGCATCTCCTTGTAAGGTGTAAATAATTGCTGCCCTCCTTGGGAGGTTTAACCACCATGAAGCAGCAAGTTGAAAAGGTCAGACGTGTTCAGCACGCCAGATCTAAAGTGGTTTATTAGCATCCCAATGACATATTCAGGAGATCGCCTGAGACATAATTACCTGGATAAGGTACAGATGAATACTGTATTTGGGGGAGAAGGCAAGGTTGGTTGGATATTGGCTTTGTCTCCATTAACCTGGAGCACGGTGTTAAAGGATCTGTTTGTGGAGAGAAAATGACAGGGACTCGGGCTGATGAGGCTGGACGGAGACAGTTAAAGGCCCCTCGCTGCATGGGATAATTAATAAATAAAATACCAGGGGAGCCCCTGCCATGCCTTCGTCTATGACAGGGGCTGTCTCCAGTGCGCTAAAGCATTAAATGACCAATTTCTGTCAGACTAACTTCCACCACGCTCCCTCTCCCTCTCTCTTACGCTTGCCCTCTTGTCTCCACCATGCTCTCTCCCACCCCCCGCCCCCCACCATTCCCTCCCTCGCTTCCTCGTTTTTTCTGAAGTGGGTCTACTTTGCTCTCTTTGCACTGAGTTTTTCAGCGACTGATGGCTCTAGTTCATTTCTGCTGAATTAATTGGTCCCTGAATGAATTCTGTTGACAGGGCAATTCATCATGTGTTTGGCCTGACAGTGACTGGGTGCTGGGTGGGGTGGTGGAGGAGGCTGGAGACGGAGGAGAGTGTGTGTTAGTATGTGTGTGATTGTACCGGGGTGGGTTTGGAGGAGCTGAGGCGTAGTTGGGACAGTTTGGGGGAGCCAGTCAGAGGTTGTGGGGGTTGTCTGCTGTGAGCTTCCTCCTCTTCATTCCACGTCGCTTCTTCATTTTTCATCCGTCTTGAGATGCGGACGTATCGGTGCTTATGCTGAACTGTCTTCCCAAAACAGTCAGGAATGAAACAAATCGACCCCTTCCCTCCCCCCTCCACAGGATGAACGTCTGCCAGACACAACACTTTCTCTCAGCTTGAAGAGGGCAAGCAGGTCAGGGCCACTCTGTTGTACGTATATTGGCCCTTTGTTGCACCTCCACACACTTCCTCCCCAACCTAAAGTCCCTCCTTGCCACTTTACATGCACACACCAATAACACAAGCCTGCCTCCTCAGAGCTCTTCACCCATTCCTGAGAGTGACATAATCAGGTATCAGGGCATATTTAGTGCTTAATTACACTATGTGTTACTCGGTGGCCACTTAAAACGATAATTTAGCTCCTTGAAGGGAAATTGCTCTGCACTGCTGACTGATCTAACAGGGACAGGAATGGTATAATAGCACGTAGTTGGCAGATGAGGCCCAGGTTGAGAAAAGCCGCAACAGCTCTTGGAGTGCTCATTATTCTAATTGTGAACCACGCCGAAGCGCAGGATGCACATAGAGTCTGAGAAGCCTCTGAGCTTGAACGTGGTAGGAGACCTCTTTAGACTGTGTTGAGTCAATCAATGCTCACTCATTACAAACATCACAAAGTCATGTTCCTGTCGCCTGGATGGTCTCACCCGCCAACTGGGAAAATAAGCTCATAATCAGGCTTGGACTCCTTAGTTCTTCCTCCGTGGAATGAGATGATGGGATTTTTTTTTTTTTTTTTTCAGATAAGCATTCTCACAACCTAGCATATTGTTTTTTTTGTGTTTTTTTTTAAGCTCTTTTAGAGACATGCTGAGAAATCTACTGTTCATTTGTTGGCTTTCAGTTTGAATGGCCCTGAAAGGTTGGAGACTTAAAAATCTATAATTTATCCAATTTGTGAATGCCCCATACATAAGTGTTACAAACGCTCTTGGTTGGAAGAGTATATATAGTTAAGAATTTTCAATATCAGATAGGTGTTAAAAAATGAAGCAAACAGATGGAATAAGTTCAGAGGACCTGTATTACCTATGACATGTTTGTGGTTCGCTCAGACTGCCAGCGAGCGAGAGAAAGCAAGACTTTGAGCATATAATGGAAAAACAAAACATACAATTGCTCTGTTTGTTTTGGGAATACTGTTTCTCAGAAGGTTGTGTTTAAGCATGTAGAATGGCACACGTTCTTTTAGGGAAAGTGATCCAAGATGCTAAACTCCATCATTTTAACTTCATTTGAAAATATGAGTAAAACACTGTCTTGCAGCAACTGCTCTACAAAGAGTTGCATGATTTTGTCTTTACAAAATTAATGATTGCTCACAGCACAAACAATTTTTAATTTGGATTTTATTGCTATTGGAATTTGGCTAGAGTCAGGTTTGGCAGCTAAAGCTTTAAAAACAAAACGAAAAACAGAACGGAAATCTGCAACAAAACACTAATCATCTCTAAACTCCTTGCATCTTTATACAGGGACAAAATCCAGAGTAACTGTTCCAGGGAAGCTTTCACATCTTATACGCTCTCTTTACAGAAATGACAAGACGCATACATCTTTTTGATTTAAAGATGCAACGCTGGATTAATGCAGCGCTTTGTCTCCCTAACACAAATTCATTTGGGATTAACAGAGTTAACGAAGACGGCGCTGTGAACAGCGCTGCTCCCGTGCAGCCACTAATTAAAGCTGCTTCTAATGAGGGCTCGTTGATTGACACGGGAGGGCTGGCCTCTCCCCTCACTTGCATCAACTATGACAACCACATGATGAGGCTGATGACAGGCTCCCATGCAGGCGGATGACAGGACGTCAGAGCCAGGCCACCGGCGGTCCTCGTCTCTGAACGGTACTGTTTGACACCACCAGACTCATCAAGTCTCGCACTGTATAAGTTTGAGCAAGGAACGATTGTTGTGCTGAAAACTGAAGCCCGGGTTTAAGTGAGACCTTCAGCTAACCAATGTCTGAAGAATTTTATGAAGGACAGAAAGGAGTGAAATGTAAAGGTATCTGTAGAAGTTGCATCTCTGAAGAAGAGGTGGTGGGAGGCTTTCCCCCGCCTTCAAAAACAAAATCTGGTTTGGGGAAACTTTCTGGAACAAGTAGTTTCTTGCAATATTCCTATAACTTTTTGATCCTCAGTCGAATGTAATTTTACCAAATGCCAAGAAAAGTTCAAGGAATATGAATAATTGATTTGTGAATGAATATGAATAATTGATTTGTGAATGGAAAGTTTAAAATGTGGAATGCATTTGCCACATTGAGCCCATGCATACAATTAGGTCTCAGCCACTCTAAGCTTTGATCAAAACCCCTATCCTAAAGTTTGTGCCAATAGAAGGTAAATCTCAATTTACATGATAACATGTTTAATAAAATTGGCTTTGTGAACTGCTGGTGAGCTGGATGTCAAGATCCTGACCTGGAGACTAAGAAATTACCAAACCAGAGAATGATTCCTGTGCAGCATGGATTTACCTCATGTCTGAAAATTGACTTTGCTCATAGTTTTAAGGCAGCTTTGAAACTTTTGTCTCCAAGTTAAATGATTTATACTTAATATAGACTCAATTCATTAATTAGCAAATGAGCGGTTCACCCACACAGGAGCCTATAAACTGGACTGTGCTCAGGTTAGGGGCATTCCCTTTTTGCTGTATGCCACTAAAGGTTGTATCCACCCAAATTTGTAAATACAGTAATACTGAAGACAAATGGGATTTTATAGTGTATTTGTGTGTGTGTTTGCTACATATAGAGTCATGTGAATATATCAACAAACTTGTTTGTAAATGCACCTGGCATGATCAGAGACACACTTGTGTAAATGTATAAGTTCATCCTCTAATAGGATGCATGGTTACTTCATAAAATTTTAATGCTGTGTATTTTCAAATGGAATTTGACAACTTGTCTGAATTGTTGCATATAGTATTTTCTTATATGATGCACTTTATCTTAATTTTTTCCTCCCTGGGTTAAGTTTTTAACTATTTTATTAATCTTGGGTGATTCAGGCTGCACCACATGGAATCCAGCAAACACTGGCTATCAGCTTTGATTGTAATTGGGCACATTCATATTTGCGCTTATCAAAATGCTCATTAATGCACAATATCTCCCTTCAGCAAATAAAAATTATCAAGTTACTAAACAAAGTTTGACCCAGTTTAGGAAGATTTAACGTTTAAAGCAGTCTTCAGTCCAGTCGATTGATGTCTGAAGCTTTTATATTTTCAGCGCTTTCCCCAAGACTGTTTCCACCTGCTAGCTGAGGCATATTTTTGCTGTATAAATTATCGGTGACAGACATGAATCACACCAGAGAGGCCAAGCTGTGGGGCATCAGTGGGCCAGGCTGACAATGAGGGTGAAGTGTTTGAGTAAGTCTTCTGCGTGGCCCCGTTGGCCCCATGGCAGGGGCCTCTCTGTGTCGGTTTGAGAAGCCCCGAGGATGACAGGTGCTTTTCGTAATGCCTAACTGATGAGAGCCAATCAGTGCGCCGCCTTCTGCCTGGTGTGTGTGTGTGTGTGTTTCCTCTGCTGTTGTTGTCATCTGGACCTGCTAAAGTAAAGATGAGCTTGACTGACAGATGCATCCGGGTTCACAGTTTATTGGTTTCTCAGAGAGAGCCAGATATGCCAATTTAGACAGGGTAGTGACAAAAAAGTTCCCATCTAAATGGAATAATTTTACCACTGGGAATTCTCAGCTGGGGGAAGAGGAAATGCATGTGTATGCGTGCCTGCATGTGTGTGTGTGTGTGTGTATGCGTGTGTGTGTGTGTTTTATCTTTTAACAAGCCCTGAATGACAAAACATAGGACAGTTAGGGGCTGACAGAAACAGCAGCTTTTGATGCTTCACGGGGGATCCATGAAATAAACAATAGGCAGAGGAAAGCAGAGAAATTGAATTACAACTGACTGCGTTTGTGCGTTTCAGAGTGAGAGTGCGGCTGCAGCAATAGCAGCGGCAGCAGCAGCAGCAGCGGGCTATGGCGGGATGAAACCAATGCATCATTAAATAGACTGTAAGTCAGAATGCTCTCCTGCATTCCCAACTATCCTGCTTCTTTGTTTAGTTCTCTTCTGTCAGCCCATATGCACAGCCACGTCCGTAAAACTATGTTGTTCTTTTTACGATTGACACGGGCTAATTAAATGGTAATCACCATTTATATCGTTTCTTCTCACTGCCTCACAAAAAAAACAAAAAACAAAAAAACACACACTTCAACATTACGCCATGAAACTTTGTGCATTTCATATTCTAGAGTAATAATCTATGAGTGCATTGTTGGCCTGACTGTTCATAAACCCAAACGTCAATAAGCCCTGAGGAGAGACTCTGCATCCCACACACACACACACACACACACACACACGCACCCACCCGCTTCAACCTTGATCCTTGAATCACTTCTTATGGAGTTAATAATGAGGACACAGCAAGTCAACAATGGACATATAAAAGAATTTATTCCCCATGTGAAAAAAAAAAAAAAAAAAAAGGAACAGAACTGAAAAGGAACAATGATTGAGGCCACGAGGCTTTCCTTATGGATTTTCATCAGATCCTTTTTAATGTCCGTGACACGTGTCCTGTATCATCTTTTACAGCAGCGGGTGACCCGGTCCAGCAGAGGTGCTCCACATCCGAGAGGAAAGACCACGTTGTTACGTTTTCAGATATGCAAGTCCCAAGTGCAATTTGTGGAAGTTTGCTTTCAGATTAAGTGTTGTTCTCTTCTTTCCTGGTTTTCTTCCTGACAGCAGGTTTTAGCTTGGTTGCCCATTGTTAGTCCTATCGATGGCAGAACGGAGGGATGGCAGATAGTTTTGCGTCTGAGGCTTCTGCGTTTCTGCACAAGGAGATGATTACATCTACAAACGGCAAACAGGATGACATCTTGTGATTGTTACCCAGGTCTTCTTAAGTGAAACGGAAGCGAAAACGGTTAAAAAAAAAAAAAAACATTTCTCACCACGAGTTGTTTGAATCTTTTAGTTAACCTTTGTACTGTTCTCCATGGGGACCGGTTATTTTGAGCCCGACAACAAAACAGTGACAGAAAGCCATTCAACTCATTGCATAGTGACATAAGACACCATCATGACAACAAATCAAAGAGGAAAAAAAAAAAAAGCAAAAACGACAAAAGACAACCTATGTGAATGTTAGCATCTGAAACCTGCCACTGCTATATAGCCATAGGTTATACTTTCCTCAGAGCAGAACATTACACTGAGACACAAATGTAATGCACGTTTTTCTTCTTTTTTTTTTTTTTCTTTTTTTTTTCATGAGCTTCAGTGTGTTTATCTACAAAGGGAGCTGGTACATTAGTACGATACTGCAGCGGTGTTTCTGTACGATGTTATATATTTACAGAGACAAATTGTCTTCACATTATTCACACGTCTTTCTAAAAAGCAGCACTTAGTTTGCAGCTGTTGGAATATTAAGCCACTGGATTTCACCTTCCTCGCAAGGATCATGTCGTTCACCTGTCTCGGCGTTACGTGTTGAGTCTTGACTCTCTTATAAGATAATACTGAAATATTAAACTTACTGTAAATAAAATATTAAATATCCAACTAAGTCTTTGGCAAATGTGGTAGGAGGAGTACATTCACAGAATATTTCCCCCAAAACAAACAGTCAAACAAAAACAAATGCTCAATTTCAGCCTCTGTGAAGAGGAAAATGTGTGACTTCTACTAAAGAGGTGTAAGTTTAGGTTGACAAAACAAGCTTGTAAGGCAATTACTGAAGCTAATTTATGGTTATTCTTATCACAACTGCATCATCTTTCTAACTTTTGCAGGGCATCTTGTGGTTTTACTTATGCAACTGAATCACGAGGCTTCATTTAGCCAAAGAGCTCCAGGATGAATTGTTTGTGTGTTTAACTTAGCTATGCACTTTTAAACTGAGATTTTTAGGTAACTGTTCCTCAAAAAGACGATTAAAAAATCAATTAAACGGAGTTGTTAGTGCAAAAAAGAGCAAAGGAACATGACAGAAAAAAAAACATCAAAACAAAACAAAAAAAAAACAATCCAGAAAATCTTTGATAAGTTTGTTTACATAAAAACTTTGACAGAAAAATCCCTCACATTGTTGAAGTATTTAAAATCCTGACATGACCCTTATAAATTCATGGTCACCACACATTTTTTTTTTTTTTTATACTTTGCAAAAGAATTTACATTTTTACATCTGATTGTTTGCCACAGGTGCGACGTTGCTCTGGGAACGGAGGATCGGTAAACATCGAAGGACGTGCTGATAGCTCAGGATGGGCAGGAGAAGAAGGACGACCGAACGAATTATGTCAAAGCACCAGAAAACAAAACAAAACAAAAAAAGTTTGTTCTACTGTAAATGTGGAGAACCCATCTTTTTTAGGTGTAACAAGCAGGCCCGCAACACTGGCGTAAGTTGCTACATTATCAATCGGTGGGACCACCATCAATCACTCCTGGACATGTCTCTTGAGAGCAGACAAAAAATACTGCAGTTTATTACATAAAGAAGTGTGAGGATTCATGAATAAAATAACAACAACAGCAACGAAAAGACAAAAGAAAAAAAAAAAAATTATAAATCCCACAAACATTTTTCCACATGGTATTCTTCACACGTTTTTTTTTTCTTCAGTTTATATTTGATAATATATATATTTATAGATTCTGTTGAAGTCATTCTGGAAATGTTCAAGCCTGTGAGGAATTTACAGGCTCCAAACTCCTTCAGGATTTCCCCCCCCCCCTTGCTCTGACCCAAAATGCGTAAAAGCTAGAGCTGGGTGCGCCGGCTCCAGCCTCGTTCGTCCTTCGTCCTTATCGCGTAAGATGAAGAGGTCCCAGTGTTTCTCAGACAGGAACAACGTGGAGGTTGAAGCTCCGGCCCTGCAGTTTGAGCTGGTCTCCGGGGTGACTAGTGGCGGTCATAGGCAGTGGCAGCAGCGGGAGGCGCGGAGCCACGGGATGCGGCACTATAATAATAAGGGGAACCTGAAAGTTAACAGAAGAACGAGCCGTTGGAAACCGTTAGAAACATGATGCAGGACAACCGTCTCTGAAAGGAACAGTCACAGCGTCTGGTGATTTTAGTCGATTATAAAAGAGCAGAAAACACATTTAAATCTGATCAGTTACAGTGCCTTGCCTTGGACACTTTTTTTTTTTTTACATTTTCTCTCATTGCAATCTATATTAAGATTTCTGAAGTGAAAGATATACTAGATCACAGGTATTTACAAATAAATGACAGAAAAGTATGCTAAACATTGTTCAGCCCCACTGTTGCACTACAGTTGAAAGTCTTTTGGGCTAGGACTCTACTTTGCACACGTGGAGAATAAAACCTGTTCAAATTTTTATTTGCAAATGTGTTTAGATTGCTTTAAAAGTCTTGCCACTGATTTTGATTTAGATTTAGGTCTACTCTAGACTTTGACTAGGTTTCTCGAACATATGAATGTGATTTTGTATGTATATATAATTAGAAATGGGACTTGATTAAAATCAAGTCAATTGCAGGGTTTGTAATTTATAATTCGTGATTCATAGCACTTTGATATATGTATAGCCAAAATTTTCAATAAAAATTTTTGCAGCTAAATTATTAAATAAATAGACATATATATTCAGTGTCTCTGCTTTCCTCTGTCAATTATTTAAGTCAATAAAATCTAACCCCTAATGGACATTAAGGAGTTAAAGTACCTGGCCCCATTTATTTTCTCTCTTCTTCTGGAAGTTTAGTCTCCATCCCAATCTACAGCCTATTGCAGCCTCCCAGATTTTTTTTAAATATTTTAATGCTATCCATCCTGCCATCAACTTCACCTTTCCTGGCCTTTCTGTAAAAAAAAAAAAAAAAATCCACAGAATGATGCTGCCATCTCTGTTTCATTATTGATATAGTGTGTTCAAGATGTTTTGATCAAGGGGCTTTTTTAACCTCATGTAACCAAAGCTCCTTCTTCCACGTTTTCTGTTTTCCTTGCTCGGCCTTTTAGTTTAGGTGGGTGACCAACCATGTATTGGCAGGTTTGCATTTGTGCCACACTCTTTCCATATTCAGAGGATGATTGAACAGTACTGTTTTTTGTTAATATACGGTTGAGATATATTTTTTTGTAACCTAATGAGCTTTAAATTTATCTACAACTTTTTCTTTCATCTTTTCTTTGATGTTCTTGATGCTGTTTGATCACTGATGTTCTCTAATTTCTGAAGCCTTCAAAAAAAACTGATGGATTTATACTGAAAACGATTTATACACAGATGGACTCTACTTAATTGCTAAATGACTTTTATATCTGACTGGATTTTATTTAGATTTTCCGATTAAATACATCTTATACATAAAAAAAAAATATATATATATATATATATATATATATATATATATATATATATATATATATATATATATATATATTATTTGTCGAAAAAATAGAAAACCATTTTTATTCTTTTACTTTCTGTCATAATTTCGCACTACTGTGTGTTGGTTTGTAGAATAAAATCCCAATCAACAAGATTTAGGACCATTATTTTAAAAGTGGAAAATTGTGTAAAAGTTGAGAGTGTAAGGCACGGGAATGAAGACAAAGTCAGTGGATGTACCTACTCAGTAACGCTGGATTACTGAACCTCCAAGCCTCATTGTAGGTTGTGTATTGGGGATGAGAATAAGGGTTTCCAGAAAAATCACCCCCTGGTGAGAAAATGGAGACAAGCAGTCATTAGTGGAGATAACTGTAAACAGGAAAATATATGTATTTTGCATTGTCCAACTCATATATGTATTTATCATCCAATCAAGTCACTTCCATTTTAGCAATCTTCTTTTTAAATTCAATTGTCTCTCCTCTGTCCTTTTTACTATACATCCAGGATTTTTGTCTGTCTGTTTAAGCACTGATCCTTTTCTCTGGCACGTCGTAACACATCCAGGTTCTCTCTCCGTCTGTCATGTCCAGTTCATAGGGATTCCCAGAGTGATGTCCAGGGTTTCTAAATGTCTCTTCCTTGTAGGACTATAAAACCTTGGTGTTCCATCAGCGGGCAGCTGAAAAATGGGTTTTGCTTTACCATTGTTTAGGGTCAGTCAGTAGACCGCTCAGAAGCAGAAAAAATCCATAGATATTGATGGTATTTGTATTTTACTTCTGAAATAACAAACATTAAATTTTGCCTCAATGTAATCTTTGATAATTGGTAATGCACACACTCCAGGTTGTACTGTAAAATCCGCAAGACTGTTTTGAGTGCTGCCTCCTGCGGTTTGAGCCGTGTATGTCTTTAAACAACAGAGGCGGTTGTGTCTTCAGCTGTTTGGACGACAGATTTACACACACTGGCTGCTCCAGCATCCTCACCGCTGCTCATGTAACTCGAGCTCGTCCCTGAGAGAGATAGTGATTTAAATATTTACAGGCCCTCTACGCCTCTGTGTTCTGACCCTTAACTGTTTGCTGTGAACCTGAACTACAGGTTAAGTAGAGGGGAAAGAGATACGCTCTGTAGCCCTGCGTGTCCGTGGAGGCGAGGAGAGGTGCACAGGCAGTGTTTATCGACGGGGCTGGGGAGAGCACGCCGCATGTGGAAACGGCGAGGGTAATGAGCGCTGGGAGCTGGAGTGTAACTGAGAGGAACTGTCCTATCTCACGGCCACTGATTGTGGTGATCGTCTATCGAGTTCATCTAATGTCCTCATCCACAGACGCTAACCGCACGGTAACCGCAGACTTCTAAAGCTATAACGAGCTCGCTTCAATCCGGGAGTAAAAGCTCTGCACTGTTTCCGCTGCCGCCTTTTGTATCTTAATGTTTGGCAAACAGGTGTTTACTCTTAAATGACCTCAAGCTCTGTGAGAGTCTTTGAAAGGAAGGCTCATTGTGCTTGCTAGCAGTACAATTATCAGGATACCAGAAAAATAAATAAATAAATAAATAAATAAATAAATAAATAAATAAATAAATAAATAAATAAATAAATGCTTGACCTACCAGGAACCATGCCTGCAAGTGTGGAGGTGGGGTAGCTGCCTTGTCCTGTGGGGGGGACATGGGGTGGGTAGCCAGGTAAAGTGGTGCTCGCCATTTCTCGACCTGCAAGTACAAGTTAAGGTGTTATGACTAGTATGCTTGAATAGAGAAACCAATTAAACAAATTAAATACAGTATTTTTAGTGTAGTATTGCACATTTTAGCTGAAAAAAAAAAAAAAATCATTGTTTTAGCAAGATTAAGTCCCAATTATTAAAGAGTATAAGCTTTCTTAAAATAGTTGTATAAAAATTTAGATTGCATGCACAAGAAGCATATTATGTATATAAGTGAAGCACCATTGTGAATATATATATATATATATATATATATATATATTTTTTTTTTTTTTTTTTTGCAATGCACACCAACAAACAATACATTTATAAAGTGAAGTACAGAGTTGGTACTGACATAAAGAAAGCTAATTTACTGCTGCAAAATTAAAATGGAAATGTCTTTCTGGACATTTGAGTGGAAATTGCGATTGCCAGCTTCAGAGTGTTATGTTCATAAAATGTTTATCGATGACTACAGGAGAGAAAATGTCATTAAATGAGTTACAACATGTTTATTACCATTAATTTATTACGTCTTTGTCTTATTTTGAACCCCCGTTTTTAAAGTATTTCACTCTTTTCTGGCCTACACCTCAGATGATAGCAGGATTACATTTATCGGTAAAGTAAAATAAGTAAATAAATAAAATGGGGCTTGCAGCATTTTAATGTCATTTCGCCACAAAAGTTGTAGTTGCAAAAAATCTGTCTTCACATATCCAATCAGCTGATTTTTAGTAAACGGTACTTGAATTCATAAACATAAATATTGCAGTTCTTAAAAACATATATATCTGTAATTCTAGATTCCTTTTTTTAAATTTGACTTAAAGTTTAACTTAATCCAAATCAACAGGCATAAATAAAACCCTTTGAGATGGCATGACTTTTGGTCTGGCCTGCAGAGCTGCAAAATCATGACGCTTATTCCAACTCTATTGGAATAAATTTGTGTGAAACATTCGTGTTATAAATAATAGACTGCAACATCACATTAGTTATTTAAGCTTGGCAGCTAAACTGACAAGAACATTGTACCAGCGAGAACTATCTCTGCACTCTGCTCCATATTCGGACTTTTAATTAACAGTGACAACACCGGGTCTGGGTAAGTAAGGGTGCCTCGGGTCCAAGCCAATCTCTGGCAACAGCATATACGCTTTTGCAGTCATTGCCAGCCCTACACCCTTTTTGCACCTCCACTGACCCCCCTGACTTTGAGCCTGTCACGAGGCTGGACTGACTAGAAGGTCTATTGTTAACCCAAGAGATGAGCAGGAGGTCAGAATTGGAGAGCAGCTTTGCTGAGAGGGGAAGAGCCTAGCGTCTGATAATGAGGGCCGAACAGTCAGTTCAGCTCCTGTATCCACAACAGTAGAGCCAAAAAGCAGCATGGGAAGGTGGCTGTTTTAATTTGATGCGCAACCGAGAATTGCTAAACGGGCAAAAGTGAGCACAGAGGTAAATCAGCTGGACATTTTTTTTCGCGTTTTTATTCGACTGTCGGGCCTCATGGGTAAGGCTGTACCTGCTATAAAGAGTTGGCTGGCATACTGGCTGTAGCAGGGGCCGTGGGCATGGGGAAGGTAGCTGGGAGTGGAGGCTTCTACAGAGAGGCTGGACTGGTGGGGTAAGATGTCAGCTAGAGCAGAATCCCCAACAGAGGAGGGGGTGAAGGGGGCAAAGGACGCCTCATGGGGCTCCCGCTTTACACACATGGAAGGCGGATATGACGGGTGAGAGTCTGGCAGGTGGAAGAAGAAGAAAAGAAAAAAAAAGAAAAAACTTGATAGGATGCAGACATACATTGCCACACATTCTGTACTTAAATTTGAGTCAGTCACACATGTAAGATGAGATGGAGGTATGAAAAAACACACAATAAAAGTATATGTTCTTATAATGGATTTAAAAAAGACTTTATGTATCTTTTAGGAGTGAGGAATCTTACATGAATACTGAACAGAAAAGCAGCATTTAGTGTCTGATTTGCTCATTTACATAGCTTATGATAATAATCTTATACGCACCCCCGAAGTAATTCATCTAACTGAGTGTAAACATACACCAGTGAAATGTTGCAGGAACGCATCGTGCCTGATCAATCAAGCTCAAATGCATAAAAAATTTCCCTGTGGTTTTGGGAAAACAAACAGCATAATCTCACGGCTGCTCTCTCGCAGCAGAATGAGCAAACAATCAGCTCGCAGGCAGCTCAAAACATCAAGCGCCGATCTAATTCAGCTGATGAGTCCTGGCATCTTCCGGTTTCCATCCGGCTCTGCCTCTCGACCCTGTGCAATCAATGTGAGCTCTGTCTCTCTTCGGTCCCTCCGCGCCGCGCAGCAGAGCCCTACTCTGTTTGCCGGGGCCCTGAGATGGCTCTTTCGCCCCTCCCGACACCATGATAGCCTCATTAGCTGCTTTCCCCCATCATTGTTGTTTTACAACAGGACTGTGTGTTGCGATTCCTCATTAAGATAAGGGCTGAAGAGGGACTTAACACTGTCAGCTCTCAAAAGCAAATGCACGAGAATCCGGCAACACAGCTGAGTGCTTTGTAGCAGCTTTTCCGCAACCCTTTGATAGCTCTAAATGTTCACTTGAACAAAAAAAACAAAACAAAAAAAAAAAACAGACAACGGTTCACTATAGCCTAAGATTGGCTCATTAAAAATAGCTTATTTGAAATTAGGATGAACCATTTTAGAATTTAATTGGATAGACCAAAACTTTGTCACATGCCAAATCCAAGTAGGACATATAGTTTTCAGACAAAATGGCAACAACCTGGTGCTTAACTTTGCTCTTCAGTTAATTATACCCTCCATGCAACTCTGTTAAGTCTTCAAAGTAACAACTTTCAAAAGCCTTGTTACCCTGCAGGCTGATTGTAGCACAAGACATTCTCAGCTAAACATGCAATAAAATCGCCATGCAAAGTTTGTGTCCCATATTCCTGATTACTCTGAGTTATAATTGTTAATATTGAGTTATGGCGATATTGTATCTTGGAACTTAAATGAGAAAAGGGAGATGAAATTAAAAGGAATCTTAATGCTGCTTAGCAAATTATCACCTGCAACAGGCAGCGTTCAGACAGCCTGTTTAGTGAAGTATTGCGTCAGATTGTTGGTGGTTCAGGGTGTATTTGTTTCCACTACATTCGAGACCCCCAGCGTTTTCTACAGTTTGCTTCTGTTTTCTCAGTACCTGGGCAACCGTTGTGAAACGTTCGGTTGTTACGGAGCGTCAACAACTGATACAAATGCTGCGTTCAAGACCACTGAACTCTGAATCTAATCAGACATGGTGCTGCTTATTGTCCTGGAGACGAGGCAGCACCGGGGGGGAAAAAAAAGGGAGGCTGTCAAATCCCGAGGCCTGATGATGGAGATGGAAGATAAACTTGGAGTCCATGGGGACCTTTTTCCCCCTGCAAACACATCTCTGCGAGAGGGGAGAATGGTATAGAGTTCTCCAACATCTGTCTCCGCTCGACCACTGATACCACATCTACAGACCCCATCAACCATAGAAATAAACTGTTAGGGAACCTGTACTGATCCTCAGAGAGACGCTTTCAGACACACCAACAACTGGCTGCTCTCAAGTGAGCGTCTTAGTTTTAAATGCACATAGAGGAACTTTGGTGTACATTGGTTGCTAGAGCAAAAAAGTTTTCAACCCTTTGAGTTCAAACTTCCAGTGTGTGAATTCAGCAAACAGCAATTCACAAATGTGCTCTTGCTCACTGTAGATGCGATGATTTATGACTATTTACACCACGAAGTTGAACGTTGCATCCATTTTTAGCTGAGCACAGACCGTTTGCAGAGTCAAATGCCCTCACAGTCCACAGTTTTAACATAATTCATTATCAAATGTGTGCTTAAAGGTTAGCATGAGTATTAAGGGAGGAGGGGGAGGGAAAGAATTAATTTCTAAGCTTGGGGCTGCAGCCGTTAACTGAGCAGCGACGAACCATTTGTCACCAGGCCACACACCAGGCTCCGCAGGTTAGGTAGCTGTGTATTGTTTGCAACTCAGCACAAAAAAAAAAAAAAAAGCAGGTGGTGCCAAGTCATAAAAAAAAAAGGTGCCTCTGTTTGTTTGTGTGTGTGCAGCTGAAATGTCCTCTAAAGTAAAGCACTCAGCTCTTTCAGCTGATTGGGTTTACTGTTTGTCACCCAGTGTGGCTGTGAAGTGAATGCAAAAAAAAAAAAAGACAAAAAAAGAAATGTAAAACTACCAGCTTTATTTTTAACATCTGCTGGAGTTCACAGGGGCGCCCATTTACACCTCGGCTTCCTGGAAGGCTCTGCTGAGAATGATTATCTAACCCAGCTTGCTCCTCGCTAAACTCTCACTAGTTCTATTCCTGTCAACTCAGAAAAAAAGTGTCTTAAAATGTCATTTGTTCCATGTACTAAACTCTTGAATGGCTTATGAAAAACACAACCACTTTTAAACACGGACAGAGTATCTGTGATGCTGAGGGTCTTTTTCCTTTTCAAAGGCTCTGGGAACCTTGGAAGAGTGCATTGCGACTTATCACGATACTAAAATATTTCAAATAAAAAACGTGGCTTATTTAACTAGTTAAATGAAAATAGGGTGGACAATGAGTTTTTCAACACAATGATAATTGGAAACAGGAAGGTTAATTAGCACATAAATTATTCCAAAAACTGTTTTTCTTCATTCTCTAGATCTGGAGAATATAGAGAAACAGTGCAAAGACAATCAGCCAAATATATGCAGCTTTGTGAAATGTTATGGTAGAAGACTAAGTGTTGTCTTGATGTCCTTGTTCAAAGCATTCAGGCAGCCAAGTATTGTGTCTCTTTATAAAAAACTGTACACCATATTTTTAAATTCAAAAATAGAATAATTTATGTTAAGGCCTTTTACACATGTGTAAAAGACACTGCATTTGAATATTCTATTAATTGAATTAATTTGCTAAAGTGCAATGTTTTTTTTATCATTAACTAATATATTGCATATTTTTAATAATCCTCCTAAATGCCATCTCCGTGCGTGTGCGCTTGTGTGCTAACTAACTCTGTGACATTGCTGCCACCGTTCCTCCAAATAAACTGCATCATTTGACCCGTTAGGGTAAACAGAGGACACAAAAGATGGCCGACTTTGCTTTCTCTATGGGGGCCCCTGGAATGCAAAACTAAGCAGTTCATTAATCATTCATCTTTAATAGATTATGCAAATTCCAGGACATAAAAATCAACAAGATCAATAACGGTATGCATTTTAATTGGAAGCAGAAAACATTTAAGGAATGAATATAATCTCAAAGCTCCATCCAGTATGAGAGCATAATTTATTGATAATTGGATTCCAGCCTAAGTGAGGAAGGTAATTTAGCAGTTTCTCAGCCTTGGCATACATTCCTATTTACAGGGTTTGCTAATGGCATAAAAAAAAAAAATAATAATAATATTGCGCACTAACAACCTACACACTCCTTCATGTGTTCCTTTGCGTCATTGAAGTGATAAAGTTTACTGGATATTACTTGTGAGTTTAATTTTGTTTGTGTTCAGAGCTCCCATATACATTTTTTTAATTAAATGGCTGCACTGATGTGATCTGTCAAATTGCACTTCTTGAAAAGTTTTGCCTTCTCTTAATGCAACCTCTCTCCCTCAGAGGCATTGCTTTAGGAGGCCCCAGGCTCCCAGGTGGACTTGAAGGCCACCTGCTATGAGTTTGCTCCCCAGAGCGAGACCGCTTTCATAGGAGGAGCCCTGCATAAAAGACAAAAACACACCTTTCTTCTCATGAGGCCCAACTTTCCCGGGCAAAGCTACCTCCCACATGTTCAGGAATAAAAAGGGGGTCTTTCTTTTCCCATCACTCCATGCCCAAGACGGGGGCCAGACTAGAGGGATCATATGAGATGGACGACTGCAGTTTTTCAATCATGCTGTCCTTTTTCCTGACCAGCTCACACATATACACACACGCACACACACACAAGCTGACTTTGATTCCCACTGCACCATTGTGGGACTTTTATTAAAACCCTAGTGTATTTAGAGAGTCAGTGTGGCCCTCAGTAAACTTAACCTCTCCTGGGAGAGAGCTTCGGCCGTCCCAATGAAGCAATATGTCAATTATCCAGGTGGCTATCAGCCTGAACCGCAGAGCTAAAGACGCTGTACAGCAATACAGATGCTACAAAAATCCCTGATTCACTGCACCTACATGCCTGCTGTCGCTCAGATGAAGGTAAAAGTGAAAATGTGCCATAAGTTTGAAGGGGAAAAAAAAATAAAAATCTTTGCTTTTTGCCATTATACTTATGCGACTGTCTGTGGTTGTAGCAAGCTAACCAGCCACTGTCCAATTCTAGCTGCTGTCAGTCAAAGAGATATGATAGTCTCTGATGGCAGTGCGAGGACAGCAGCTGTCTCTCCTGAGAAACACTCACAGTCAATCTGTTAGCAAGCCATTCTGGGCAAACAGCAGCCAGTTAGGAGGCTAGAAGCAGTAATTGTGAAAGACCTGTAGGATCTAATGGGCTCTGGCAGTGAATCACCTCGTTCTGTACCTCAAAGACAAAACACCAAATGCTTCGTAAAGTGTGTTGAAAGAGATTTTTCACTAAGTAGTATCGGACAATTTGTCTGAAAGACTATAAATTTGTAATCTATACATTATCTGCAGTGTCTTGCAAAAACACCTTCCGCAATTTCATTTTTACAACCACAGAGTTGTTTGTTGGAATTTTATGTTATAGACCAAGACAAAGTAAGTATCAAGTGGAAGAAAAATAATTTCCGACTTTCAAAAACATTTGCAAAGTGTCATGTTTTTACCTCTACCCATCTTCCAGTCACCTCTGCCCAGTTTCCCTGTGCTTATTGAGGAATGCCATCTTCCCAGCATAATACTGCCACCACCATGTTTCGTTGTGGGAATGGTGTGTTCAGGGTGACAGCTTTATACCACACTTATTATTTTCCACAACAGGCAGCGAGTGTAAGTTCATCTGACCACAGCATCTTACTTCCCACATCTTTGCTGTCTCCTACATGACAGTAAACTGCAAACTGAAATATGTATGTCTTCCTTTTTAACAATAGATAATTTCTCGCCGATCCACCATAAAGCACAGATTTATGAAGTGCATTACTAATTGCCATGTTGACAAAGTCCCCTACCTGAGCAGCAAATATTGGTAGCTCCTCTTAGGTTCCTAATGGGCTCTTGGCAATTTGTTGGGTATATCTTTACACCCCAGGTAGCTGGAGAAATGACAACTTGATTCGGGAGGCAACTTACATTTAGTAGTTTTTTATAACAGTGGTGACACTACAGCACTAACAATTAGTAGCAAAATTCCTATTATAACTCTCACTATAAAGCTTAGCCTCATAAGTGTTACATTAATAAGCTGCCAGATAAGTTGGAGGGCCATGTCTTGATGGGCCTGCTGTTGTGTAATATTGATATGTCCAACGTTTAGAGTATTATTATATGATCTAAGCCTCGTTTAGGGCGGTGATGGGGCCAGTAGAACAAAATCCTAACCAGGGGATTGCCAGTTCTGTCTGTCTCAGCCGTTGAGTCCTTAGGTAAGACACTTCACCCGTCTTGCCTGCCGGTGGGGCTCAGAGGTCCCAGAGGCGCCTCTGCATGGCAGCCTCACTTCTGTCAGACTGCCCCGGGGCAACTGTGGCTACAATGTAGCTCAACACCATCAGTGTATAAATGTGTGTGAAAGGGTGAATGGCTGACTGTAGCGCAAGGGGCTTTGGACTAATTAATGTGCTTTACAAGTACAGGCCATTTGCCATATTTCCCCTTAATGGTCATGAAGACACAGGTGTCCTCATGGACCCATTGGATAACATGTAAGCATTTTCCGCATGGCAGTTAAGGGGTTAAACTTCTCCACAAATTTTTGTTGGTCAACCACTTTTTATTTATTATAAAATATTTGGAAGTTTTTTTTCCTAATGTGACAAAATGCACACAGATTTAAAGAGAATAAACACCAAGACAAGTAAAAAAACCCAAAAAAAACAAACAAAAAAAAAACATGTTTTTTTTTTTTCTATTCCAAAATTTGGGCTGTGAAAATAAAACCCTCCAAAAAGGGGAAAATAACATTGTGTCCAGCATCTTGGAATCTGCCAGTGCTTCTCTAAATTTCACAGAGCTTTTTTTTTGTTTTTTTGTTTTTATACGATGCTTATGTATCTTTTGACGTAGGAACTCTGGGAAGTTAGACTAGTGAACTGAGTCGAGGGAGGAGCTTTTAGGAAGCTAAAAGCACACAGAAGACATTGTTCTGCTGTGTTCCTCTCACTGGCTGAGCTGACCACCTCGGTGTAAGTGTCTTTCACTGCTGCACCTGCGCGCATTCTTTCAAGGCCCAGTGCAGCATGAATCAGATTGTACCTGTCACAACAGAGTAGCTCTGCGAGACACTGGAAGCGAGGTCGGAGCTGGCACTGGTGGAGAGGCTGGGCTTCACATCTTCCAGGCTGGCATTCAGGGACGGGAGGGAGTACTCGTTCGCCTGCAGACAAACAAAACGCACACACGCACATGAGCAGGTGGCAATCAAAGGCGTGCAGCTCACTCTGCCTTCATTTAATTTCACATTCCACCAGATCGGGTCGCGATCTGATTAATATTGCTCATGCCCTGCGCACAGGCTCATTCTAGATGCCAGACTCGGAGCAGATATCCCAGTTTAGGTGACGTTACAGAGAATATGATTGAGTGACACCTCCTGGTGTAGCTTGGATTCTCTCACACAGGATATTTCCTGCAAATTCCATGAACATCGGCCCTGCTCGTGCTCCCCTTGCTTCACCGAGACCTGTGATGATGTATGCATGCATTAGGGCTTGTCTGAGAAGATGGCAGAGAGGGAGAGAGGGATGAGAGAAGGATTGGAAGAGGAGTGAAAGGACGGGGTGTCAGCTGGCTCTTTGTGCTCCACTGCAGTCATCCCTGTGACCAGTCAAGGGAGGAGACATTCAGGGCTTTGTTACAGGAGAGACATGTGGTGTTTTTTATTTATTTATTTTTTTTATCTTTTCTATAAAAAAAAAAAAAAAAGAAGAAAAAAAAATATGGGGGTGTACAACCTCAAATTCAGCCTTTGTGCTTTACATTCAGGAAAAACACATGAAAAGCAGATTTTACATTTTTCATTTTAGGTTTGATGATTTTTTTGTATTCTTTTTATTTGCTTTCTACTGGAAGCATTTTATCTCAGTCGCCACAAAATCCATCTTTTGCATTTTACAAATCTCATTACGTCAGTGCCGTGATAGACACCCGGGTGTGAGCATATAATCTCTTGTTTTGTACACCTTAATCTCTGGTGAAGACTCTGTTTGCAGTTGCGATGAATCCTATTTGTTAATGAGATGACATTTCCTGACCCAGTTCTTCTTTGAAAGGATAAGACTCTGCGAGTGTTTGTGTCAGAGTGAGTGTGTGTGTGTGTGTGTGTGTGTGCATCTGTTTGTCTCAAAAGGGTTGGGTTTGGGGCTGGGTGGGGGCATACGGGGTCCCAGAGGAGAAAGCTGGTGACCCCAGTCTTGTCTGCCTCTATCCCAGATAAACTCTAATTGTCTGCTTACAACTGTTCCCTGGCACTAGGCTGGATGTTCCTCTCTGTCCCGTTGGGCCTCAGCCGCACAAGAGCCATTTTGTCATGCAGATGGGATGTGGGTAGGGGCTGAGCAGGGGCTGGGCGGAGGGCGAGTGGCGAGCGCAGAGGGGCCTGAATGACCTGACCACATGGCTGCCAGAAGTGTGGGAGGGATGAGGCCTATTCAGCCTGGCCTCTTCAAAATGGCTTTTTAATGCCCTGACGCAGACACCAGACAAGCCCCTAATAGCCTAATATCCCACCTTTTCACCAGTTTAAGAAAAGGAGGGGGTGTTGGAAACAGGCAGAGAAAAGGAGGTGCACGGAAAGAGTGGAAAACAGGCTGATTAATATTACATTAAATTAAAACTGATTTTTCTGGACCATTCTGACGCCGTTTCTCACCCCCCTACCCTCAGCCCCCCTCTCGCCTTTTTAATACCTTCTCCTCCACTCTTTGTGATTGCAAGTCATTTCCAATTCGTTTTGGTATTGATCTTGCCGTAGAAATCACTTTGGTAATTAGCTGCATTAGAGGCTGTAAAGCAGGCTGAGGGGCTGTCCCTCTGATTTATCGCCGCTGTAATTCCCCACGATCGCACAGAGATGAAAATGAACTCAATTAAGGCGCAGCTAAGGCTGTGTGGGCACCCAGATAGAGTTCCAATGGAAAAATTAATAGTCGCTTGTTGTTTAACAGTCTAATGAATGTAAATAAAGCTTATCCTCTGTAATAGGTTGTAGGTTTCAAGGCTACTTTTAGGCACCAGTTTGCAGTAGAAGGTAATGTCACTTTTCAACCAACAAAGAATAATAGCTCCCACACATTTTGACCAAAAACTAATACGCTTAGAGCAGAAAGTGTTGGTGTAGTATGTGGAGAAACTTAAACCAGATAAATCAGAAGTGGCTAACATAACATGACTTGGCTTGAAAGCAGGTAAAGCCTCAGAAAAGTGCATCTTAAAGGTTTTAGTGTCAATTTTGACATCTGCAGATTTTTGTAGAGGGAAATAAAAAGAATAAGATGAAAGTCTGTAGACTGAAAACCTAATTAAATGTAAAACTCAGAGCTAGGCCAGTTGTTGGAATGGATTTGCTACTGTGGAATCTGGGAACCAATTGGCCACAGTCTAATGACTATGACCCAATGTTTAAGCCTTTTCTGAATAACCGGTGGTGGATATCCAGGCCATCTCTCCCAGTTCAAAGTCCCAGCTGCCGTTGGTTCAAGCATTTGAAAAAAAATCAAGTCTTTGTCAGATATTCTCCAGAGGTTTAAGACTGAATGACAGTCGTATGTAAAAATACCATGTTATAATGGGGTTGCAGTTTGAAAACAAATGTGTAACATGAGCTCATTGCTTTGATTTAAAATGTTAAAGGGGTAGGTATTCATACTGTGCCCACAATAACTTTTATAATCTGAAAGATAGTGAAACAAAGTGAAATAAGGCAGCAAAACATAAAATAAGCATATGCAAAATTTATCTGCAGTTTTTATGTGTTTATTGCACAGAAAGTTAGCTGGTTTTAGCTGGAGAAATTAGGCAGGCTACATTCTCTGGTAAAGCCTGTGGTTGAACAGATACATGGTTTATAGCTCAGCAGCAGTTTCACTCCTTATGATGGACTAATTTTTTCGGTTTTAAAAGAATATCCAAAACAACAAACTTGTCTTTGCTTTAAATATTGTAATGGTGTGGCTGCTTCCTTTTACGCAGCTGACTGGTGGATCACAGCAACAGGTGGGGGAGAGGAAGTTTTCTGTTGCTCTCTGTTACGTAGAACAGGAGAAAATTCAATAATGAGTCTGGCATTGTCTATGGCATCTCCAACTTTCTTAAAATTTCATGAAAGCTGGAAGCTTTAAATATTTGTAAAAACATTTTATAGCCTATGTAATATATTTTTTCACACCTCTAATCTTTGGTCTTCCTGGACATTCTCTTCGATTTGGCAAACGAAGAGAACGTCGGGCATCGGAAAGTGAAGAACCTGCTTTGGATTTTGTCCTGATTGACAGCTCAAATACCATCCTCAAACAATCGAAAATGAAAACATTCACTTGGCAGAAAGTGACAAACCTGCTCTGGTTTGATGTGTTCTGAAGTGGGGAAGACATCAGGGTAAGAAGGCCGTTCGAACACGCGATCCAGGGCTTCCAGCTGTTGCTGGGTGAAGGCGTCTGCTCGCAGATGTTTCCTTAAACTCTCCACGCTGCCCTGAGAGTCACTGCCAGGGCCTGAGCCATCTGAGCCATCTAAAGGAAGAAGAGGGGGAGGAAGTGGACCAACAGGGAACATTACCAGTTTATCCACATGGGATTACTTTAAATAAACCATTTCTTTTATAGTGGCATATATAAATCAGTTGGGGACAGATAAGTCAGAAACGTGAAAATCCAATACATTTCCAATTAGTGAACCCACCATGTTCACTATGTCCTGCTGATAGCAACACTCTTCACTGTGAACACTGTTACTAAGTGAGGAAATCCAGGTTAGCTATACATCAAGGCTTCCATTTGTATACCCACTGCTGCGGAGAGGGCTGACGCTTATCTCCAGACATCACTGGTGAGAGGTGGGTAACATCCTGAATAGATCATTTTACGTACCATTGAGGCATGCGATTTTTTTTTTTTTTTTTTTTTTGTGGCTCTAATTAACTTTATTTATTGGTAGTGAGACCGAAAGAAGGGCAGAGAGAGAAGGGGAAGTCTTGTCGAGGGGTGGAAATCAAACCGGGGGATAACTGTGATGACGACTGGACTCGGTGCGTTTGGTGCACCTGCTCTACCCCACATGGTGCTCCACATAAAGGTGTTCAACTAAAGTGGGAGGAGGCACAGCAATTCCAGAAAAGCTGCTTAAAATGGACATATTTTCCCGGCCATATTGACACACGAATGAACTCTTTGGATCATTCCGGTTGTGAGAGGTGGCGAGGACTCCTGGTAGCCTTTTTTGTAAATCTCATAGTTTATGTGAGGATTTTGGTTTTCTAGATATAAATGTGAGATGTCCGTTTCTGTGATGTTAGACATGCTAATCCTGCTACTCTACAATGAAACATGGTAAAGACATATTAAGATATTAACTCTGTATTCATGTTTTTTTATTATTATTATTAACCATTAAACAGGGTTTTACTGTGACTAACACAGCGGGATGATGTTGCCTCAACTTGACAGGGGGGCTAAAGAAACATTCAGTGCTGTTTTAATAACTTTGTATATCATAGTTCTTACAGAGAAATCTGAGTCAACTAAAGGAGACTTGAGCAGGTCAAAGCTGCAAAATGCAAAGTTAAAAAGCTCAGATTGGTCTAAATCAGGGGTCACCAACTCCAGTCCTCAAGGGCTACCATCCTGCAACTTTTAGATTCATCTCTGCTCCAAAATGTCTGAATTCCCTCACCAGCATTCATTCCTCTCTGCAATATCCAGGTGTGTTTGAGCAGAAACGCATCAAAAAGTTACAGGATGGTAGCCCTCGAGGACTGGAGTTGGTGACCCCTGGTCTAAATTTTCTTAGCTTCCCTAGACTGAGAGGGGTGGCTGGAAAAACTGTCATCTCCCTCTTTGTTTTTCAGTGACTTTCTCTGGCTCTACAAACACAAACACCCGCTCAGGCTGCGTTTGCCCCCCGCCCCCATGCGCCCCGCCACCAGCGCCCCACAACCCCACCATCAGCACGGTCATCATCTGATAGGTCTGTGGTAATTGATGGATTACCTTCAGTGCAAATATATACTTGTAAGGGAGAGCGCGTTTCAGGAGAGAAAAGTAGGACCGCCGATTACATACAGAGCCTCTCATTCTGCCACTGGGAAATAGAGAGCCATTATTTAACTGAACTATTTCCTCCTGAACATATTACCCGCACCTCTTCTCTCTTTCCATCCCCCCACATATTGCCTGTCTTTTGGAAAGCAGAACAGAGCGAGGATGCAACATTCAGGCACCGAACGAGGATGGGGGCGTCGAGGGCAAGCATATGCATTTCCTCACTTGGTCACACACTATATAAACAAATGAGCCTATGCTTTCCAGGTTCCTCTGATCTCTGACCTTATCAACCCAGGCAGGGAGCCTGCCGCCACCACTGCACTTCTCCCTCTGCTCACTCATCATGTCCTGAGCTCTGAACGAAGACGAAGACGAAAAAAAAAAATCTTAAGCTAAAACCTCCAGCCCAGTATTCCAGGAACCTGCACTCTCCTGGCTGCCTCCCACCACCCTCCCTTTCCTTCTAACACTGCGCCACCAACAGCGGATGAGGGCTTCAGCTCCCGTACAAATCTGTCATTCTAAATTTGCAGCAGATTATGTTCTCTCCTGGGCGAGGCAGCGGTGATATATGATATGCAAGGCCGCTATTGATTGCCTGATCCGCTCGCAGAGGAGGGAGGCGAAATGAACTTGGAATGAACATCATGCCTCAACTCATTGTGCGTATAATACTCTACTTAATCCCACATTTTTCTGTGCTATGGAATTCAATTGATCAATCATGTTCCACTGATGGTACCATTTCAGGGGCGTTATTGCCATTCTGCTCGGCTGCTTGACCTTTTTTCAATGGCTGAGGCCAGAGGATGAACCCGATTCGCTCCGAGAAATAGATCCATTGAGAGAATGGAATAGAGGACGGCAATTGGGAATGAGTGGAGTGTAGATCAGAGGGCTGCGGCTAAAATACAGTACTTTGACTTTATCCTTGGGTAACATTGATAGAGGAATAGCATTTTTCCCCACAATGCGTGTTTTTCCAACCATGAATTAACAACATATTTTAGCTCTTTTCCATTTTCCCAACAGCTCTGCGAGAAGGAGCGCGGTGGTGTTGCTAAATGAAACTAAGCAAGTCGTCTCTGGCACGGAGGGAAACGGAGAGAGTAATGACGTAGTTCAGGATTTCTGAAGTGAGGCTCTCTGAGAAGGTCATTAGCGGTTAATATCTTACCTGCAGTAGATAGCTCTTATACATCTTTACTTAGAATACATTTAAATAAGGTGGAAATAGAGAGAGAGTCCAAGATGGATCAAGACCAAACGGACCTTCTATGGGCTTAAACAAGCTTCAGTGTAAAGCTCTACAATTCTTAAAGTGTCAAAATTATTGACAGGAAAGCCCTTTGTTTTTTGTTTTTTTTTAAATGAGAAAAAGGAGGTGGGGGTTTGCCACCAGTGACCTTCCTGAGTGTGATAAGTGCCGAAGACAAAATACGTACACCATTTCTGATCCATAAAAAAAAGTTTTTTGGATCAAGTGAAGTAATTGATTTTTACGCTGGCTTACTTTTTTCTATTAAGAACTTCTTTCTGGATACCGTTTTGCCTTGTTTCCACTGACAGGTACGGCACGGGTCGGTGTTATTCGGTAGGCTGTTTTGTCTGTTTCCACTGTTAAAGCAGTCTATTCAAATGACCCGCACTGGTCCCTTCATGGTCCCCGCTCTGTTATAGGTCCACAGGACAATGGTACAGTTTGGCTAGAGTGGAGCTACTGGCAGTACAAAACATAGATTGGGAGAAAGAAATACATCACTGATTATGACAAGGCTGAGACATGCTAGTGTGTTAGAGTTTGGGTTTAACCTCACCTGCCCAGTGAGAGTCCAGCTGCTAGTGGAAATGCTCTCCTCAGTATGTTGTACCATAAGCTAGTGTGCTGAACTGCATCAACCCCTCAATGCAAATGAGCTATTACCGTATCTTTTCTTTGCACATTTCACTTAGAAAGATAATTTGAGGTTCATAGGCTCTTACCTTCTGTTGCTTTTTAAATAATCACTGGCTTCTCTGTAGCATAAATTGCCAAAACAATTTTGAGACTAAAACTGTTTTAAGACAGCAGAGGTCCAAGGTGTTGACACCTCTTGAGCTAGCAATAAGCTACCATGTCTGAAACCAAGTAATTTATGCAAAATGAAGACACTCACAAATGTTATTTTATGAATCTTAAACCTTTTGTCATTATCTATCAGGCTGATATTTACAGAGAATTAGTTGATTAGTTACGCAGAAGAAGATGCTAAAACGGCTCACCACTAATCACCGTCCTGTGAAACCAAAAGACGTCAAATATTTGTTGATCTAATAGCGAGGTAGTGTAAACAATCAATAATCTATCGTTCCCCAAAACTACTATTTTTGCTTTTTACACTGTGTCCAGAAAAGATTTACATGTTTTCCACAAAAGAAAATCAATCCCCTACTTTCACTTCCCACCAAGGCAATCATTATCTTATCTGTAAATATCATTTGTCTTTGGTTTAAAATTAAAAAATGTATCTGAATAAATAGCTATAACAGATTTTTACCTTTTATCTTTTTAGGGTGGTTGAAGTGAAAATCCTTAGCTTCAGACATAAGAACCAACTAATCTGGATTCAAGATGCAAATAGAGTTCTGCAGGAAAGGTCTTTTAATGGAAGCTCACTTCAAATATTGTGAAATATTAACTCTGTATTTAATGGTATGAGTCAACCATAATCAATAGACAATGTTTATCATTCAGTTCATAGGCAGCAATTTTCTTCAAGCCTTTTGAACAAATCTTATTTTTTCTTACACTATTTAAAACTTGGCTGCACAGTGGTGAAGTAGGAAGGTCCTGGGTTCGATTCCCGGCCCGGGGTCTTTCTGCATGGAGTTTGCATGTTCTCCCTGTGTATGCATGTCTGTGTGTGTGTGTGTGTATGTGTGCATGGTTGTGTGTCCTGTCTGTCTCTGTGTTGCCCTGCGATGGACTGGCGACCTGTCCAGGGTGTACCCTGCCTCTCGCCTGAAATTTCTCTCTGGAGATAGGCACCAGCACCCCTCCCGACCCCACTAGGGACAAGGGTGTAAAGACAATGGATGGATGGATGAATGGATGGGTGGATATTTAAAAACTTAAGCAAATGTAAATAGCGCAAGGATTTGTCATTTTATTTTCAAATCCAAGGTTTAATGCTTCTAAAATTGGTCATTAAAAGATTTCTGTTTTACATAAAGTATGAGATAGGTGAAATAAATCAGTCCCATCTTTTGACAGTCAGTGTGTCAAGTGGAGTGTGAAGTCTGCCTGTCAGATTGCGTCTGCGTGCGTGCATATGTGTGTGTGTGTGTGTGTATGTCTCATTGGTTGGCTTGTTTCATTTTCTTCTAGTGTTTCTTCAACCCCTTCGGGTGTCTCAGCAGGTATTCTCTTATCACTCCCAAAGCACCAGCTGACTGCATCCCTTTGTTTTAACACCACCGTGTGAGGAGAT